TGGCCTTGCCCTGAGAAGCACCAGATGCCTTGGCCTTGCTGAGCGAATCAGTGCTCTTGTCGAGGAGCTCAAAGTCCTCGCCGGCAGAGTCGGTGCTGGGAGTAGGCTGAGGAACGTCAGAGTCCTCCTCATCGCCAGAAACCTCGAGTTCAAGGTCGGAGGACTTCTTGGAGAGGAAGCGACCAGCAGTGATGTTGAAAAGGAAGATTGGGGCACGGAAGACAGCAGTGTCCTTGATGGTAGGCTTGGTAAGCTCGTTAGGCTGTCGCATGTTAGTTTCGTGGTGTCTTGATAGTTAGGGAATTACTTACGTCAAGAAGGTACTCGTGGACCTCTCCCTCCTCATCCTCTCCCTCGAGATACACATCGCCAAGGGAGTCAACAACGAGGATCTTGCCGTTCTCAGCAACAACGCGCTTGCGAGCACCAGTAGGACCAGCAGTGGGGGTAGGAGTAGCAGTTCCAGATCCAGAAGCAACCTGAGCTCGGCGGGTCTTCTTGACAGGCTTGCCACCGTCACGCTTCTGGGCCTTCTCATACATGCGGCGCTCTCGTCGGTTCTGGGGCAGAGGGGGAGCCTCTTCCTCTTCGCTCTCAGGCGCAGCGGGAGGAGTAGGAGCGGGTGCAGCAGCCTCGACTCCGGGGATGTTGAAACCACCACCCCAAGCAGTTTCCCTGGCAAACTTGATGTAGCGGTCGACAAACTCGGTCTGACGCTTCCAGCTCATGTAGAGGGTGAGGTAGTGAATACCACCACCGACAACAAGGAAGAGACCAACGATGACCGTGCCCAGGCCGGGTCGGTATCGGTTGTAGTAGTAATCGGTGCCCTTCCAGAGAGGGAAGCCATTGGAGAGGAAATGGTCGTAACGGTCGCGCTCGGGGCCACGGAGGATGTTGGCAATAAGAGAGAGACGGGCCTGAGCCTCGCCGGCCTTCTTGACAGCGGTCCTGATCTCAGCATTGGTGGGAGGCTTGACATTTGCGCCCGACTTCTTGTCCTTTTCAGCCTTGGATCGCATTGACTGCCTGACCTTGTCGGGATGCAAGTTTCGGGTCTGCTTGCGGTAGGCCTTTGTGATGTCGTCGAGCGAAGCAGAGTTGGGCACACCGAGGATATCGTAAAAGTTGGCGGCCGGGTCGGTCTCGTACTTTGAGATTTCATCTCTGATGCGGAAGATTTCGCGATCTAAAGAGCAGAGCAAAAGGTTAAGATATGTTTAGACAGAGAAAGAGAGCAAGAGACATGTTGTCTAAAACATACCTTCTTTGCTCCAAGCAGCAGCCAAGGGGCTAAAGAGGGCGAGAAGCCCAACGGACAAGTACGAGATCTTCATCTTCGACTTGTACTCCGAGTAAGGAGTAGGTTGAAGAAGAGAAAAGGAAGATGAAGTGTGTAAAGGAAGAGAAAGAGAAAGGAAAAAAGAAGAAGTAGAAAGGGAAAGGGAAAAGCCAGGGGGTGTAATGGATGGTTCCTGGCTAAAGCTGGAGCCGGTAGCTTAAGTTAAGTTAGATCTGGACTTTTGGGCTGTCTATCCCTACCTCTGGGGACTTTTTTTTTTTAGTGGAGGAGGGGACCTATTGCAGAAGGCCAGCTGTCCAATACTCCAATTCAATTCAGCTCTGATTGCTCTGCTATTGCTCTACCGATTGGGACAAAAGCAAAGCGCCTCCGATCAAGGGTTTGTCTAACAAAGGCAATTCAATCCAATACTCGACAATTAACCAATTGTGTTTGGTTAATGGATGATATACTGTTGATAGTGGGTAGGTAGCTTAGCCGTTTAACGAGACCCTTTATGTTGCACTAAAAACTATCTGGTACTATCAAACAAGGATCCAAGGGCAGCAATTCACACTCGGTTTGTCCAACTCATCAACTCAACCAACAGATCCAACTCTCCAAGCTGTCAGTCCTGAGTAGAGTCATCATACAAATCAACTCGGAATGTCGATTCTTGCTGTAAATTTCGCTTGAAAAACTCAGTTTGACGGGCAAGCCCATACTTTCCACCGCCACTACAATGCTCACCCCCAGGAATAAACAGAAACTCATAGTTCTCACCTGCCTTGTTCAAAGCGTTGGCCATCTGAAACGTTGAAGACGGGTCAACGTTTTTATCAAGGTCTCCAACGATCAGCATAAGCGGACCTTTAAGTTTGGAAGCATGTGTGATGTTGGACGACTTCTCATAGGCTTCATCGACTGGATATCCCATCCACAGCTCGTTCCACCATATCTTGTCCATACGGTTATCGTGGCAGCCCGAGTCTGCTATGCCTGCTTTAAAGAAGTCGCTGTGATGAAGCATTGCTGCTACGGCATTCTGGCCCCCTGCTGAGCCTCCCATGATTCCTACACGAGATAGGTCCATCCATGGTCGAGTTGATGCTGCGCTCTTTAGCCAGGCAACATGATCTGGAAGGCCTGAATCGTGAAGATTCTTGTAACAGACATTGTGGAAGCTTTTGCTGCGCCAGTCCGTGCCCATTCCGTCGATCACTACCACGATGTAGCCTTTATCAGCCCATAGTCGCTCACGCGATAGAGGCGTAAAGGCTTTAGGGACATGAAAGTCATGCGGTCCGGCGTATATATCGTCCAGAACAGGGTAGTTCTTAGTGCTGTCGAAATCGGCCGGGCGGACGATGATTCCATAGATGAGAGTCTCGCCATCCCGGCCAGGAGCAACAAATCTTTCTGGCAAAGAACATCCTTTGTCTTCCAAGTCTTTTAGATCCCCCTTCTCAAGCTCCATTATCTGCTCTCCCGATTCGCCGTCACGAAGGACCGTTGCCGGTGGAAAGTCAACCCTTGACCAGGTGTCTGTCAAGTAGCGTTTGTCGGGAGATAATGTCCAGGAATGAGTGCCATCTCCCTCCGTGAGAATCTTGAAATCTGATCCGTCAAAGTTGACTCGTGCTAAATGTCCATGGTACGGATCCTCGCTATCCTTGAGTCCATAAGCCTGGAACCATATTTGGCGCGCATCCTTATCCACAAACTCTATGACATTAACCATCCAAGATCCCTTTGTTATTTGCGTTTTGATAGTACCGGTGGCCATGTCAACGAGATAGAGGTGGTTGTACCCGTCTCGCTCACTCGTCCACAGAAGTTCGTCTGACTCCTTGAGGAATTTGTAGTATGTCTTTGTATAGTCAACGAAAGTGTTGCTTGTTTCCTCAACAATTACTCTGACATTCCCATCGACACCGATACCGATCACTCTGACATTCTGATGGCCACGTCCATTGAAGTAGAAGAGATACTCTGCACTGTCCTCCTTCCACTTCAGGTGATTTAGGCTGTAGGGGTTCTTGAAGAGCGTATTGTCTGTTGCAACTTCGTTTCGGCTCTTGAGATCAAAAAGACGAGGTCTGTCTATCCTCACACGGTCGCCTGGTTTGAGGTACTTCTTTGTGTGGAGTTTCGGCTCGATCTGGTCCTTTGGAGACGATTCCACTAGGTTGATTTTGTGATCTTGTGCCGGGGTGTACTGCCACGCAACTACATATTTCTTATCTGGTGACAGATATATGCGGCCCTTGTCAAACCGGTTCTCTTTAGTGCCATCCTTGGACAGCTGAACGTCTTGGCCATCGTCATCCTTGTACCAAAGGTTGAGCTCTTTGACATGACAGATACCATTCTCGAGTTCAGCAGTGTCCTCATCAGCCTCGGACTTTCCATCGTCACTAGACGGGGATGCTTCTGGAATGGAATCACTGAGATCTTCAATGATAGCAGCATGGATCCCCACGTCAGGCGCTTCAAAGACTGCCCTGAACTTCTCATCTGAGACGTCTACAAGTCTCCATACGTGACCTGTATAGGTAATTTGACGCTTCGTTTGACCGTTCTTGATTGTCCTGTAGTATATAGGCTTTCCATCCCAGTCGATCCAGTACAACTTGAGTGTCTTTCCAGTACGGTTTACAAAATCAACCGTGACAGCGATGTGACTATGCGAGGAGGCGACTTCTTTCTTGAGTAAACCCTCTGGCTCTGTTTCAAAGTCTCCATTCCATTCTTCAAGTCTGTCGTCTGGACCGAATTGCCATTTGCGGTTATCGAAACGGAATCGAATGCATGATTCCTCGGGTACAGGCTCAATCCAAGTAAAAGGCAGGGCCAAGTTGTTGACCTCCTCGTTTGTCTTTTGTTGTAGAACTTTGGCGAGTAGTTTGTGATCGAACGCAAGCTCTCGGGTCTTCTGAATAATGTCGACAAAGAAGAACTGATGTTTGTCTGGCTCGTGGCTTTGCTTGTACCAGAATGCGTTTCCACTTGGTAGCCAGCGAGGTGTGACGTTTGTCGACTTGATATATGTTTCTATTGCCCTATCCATGGTTCGTATGTTTGATCAGATAGTAAGAAGAGAAGAAGCAGGGTGGAAATGAGATGAGCCATCGTGACAGTTTGTGATGCTGGTGCCTAATATGATACAATGTTCTGTCATCAATCAGCTGAGGCACGAATGCATGCATGTGTCCCAATTAATAGACAATATGAAAGCATAGCAAGAGGTATATGGGGTTTACAGCGGCCTAGCGTACGGAAGTTCTATTACTTGAAATGAACGCGAATAAAAATATGTTTCTCTTCGCCAACATGGAAGATAAGGTCTTCCAATATCACATCACTTACTAACCCCCCCTCTTTCCCACTTATTTGATAATAAATAAATATCATAAAATGTATAGAATTGGATATATATTGAATTATTTGGTAGTATATATTATTTAGTGATATCTTGCGATATTTAAAGTTAAATACTAACTTATTTCTTACTTTACAGCTTTAATATATAGAAGGTAAGGCTTAAGAAGTAGATATTATAATACAGTGAAAGCCTAATATAGTTACACTCTACTTAGTTTTTCAAATGTTTACAGATACAGGTTATATCCAGCGTTTTTAAGTTTTACAACTTGAGGGATTAGGCTACGAGAGCACTATATATACTTCAAAATGATTCTAGTTTATCAATAAAGAAAGCAGCTTGGCGCAGTGGAAGCGCGCCGGGCTCATAACCCGGAGGTCACTGGATCGAAACCAGTAGCTGCTATAATACAAATTTCTTTTTTATCTTAGATCTTTTTTCCTTAGCTAGTCTTGCTTAATTTCTTCCCATTTCTAACACATATATATCCAGATAGTACATATTCTCTTAGGTGCTTAATAATACGGTGTTTTAGTTTATGTATTATTCACATATTTCAGTTACTTCTTTATATCCTGTCTTATTTACTACAGCGCTTTGTTATTTAGCAGCGGAAAAGTCAGTTATTAACAGGCTTGAAATTGTACTAACCTACTAAATAAAATAATAAGTATAGACTAAAAACTCATTTTATTTCCATAATAAATAGGTAATGGTTATCTACCTATCATGCCCAGATTAAAACGCTGCCAGTGATTATATCGTCGACTTTACAGATCAAGCAGGCTGGCCAGCAAAGATGGTCTGGACTGCCCAGCCAGAAGAAACCATACCTCCGCTTACATGTTGGTGCTTCGACTTTATTCCTACTGACTTCAGTCTTGATGAGCTCGATACGCTTCGTCTTCGGCGTGACATACAACAAGAGTATTTGATACGAGCTTTTTTGCATCCCTGGGGGCAGCAACGCCAAGTGTGCTCAGCATTACCATGAGGAACTCGAGGCTCATGGTGGTGACTTCGAACAGGTCCGAGAGACTGAGAGGGCTGAAAAAGATCCCGAATATGCAGCTGTGCGAGAGTCCCGATGCAAGCTTCATGGCCTGCCTGCATCACAGAAGTACCCGGGGAATATGTCCTACCACCACTTCGTTTGCGTTTACCAAGACCAGACTTGGAACCAAGATGGCGACGAAATGTTGGAGATTGATATTGTCCAGTTCGATCCAGCATTGACAGATGAGGATTACGAGCCCGGTGAACGCATAATTCCGCAGGACCCCTTCTTTATAACACGGGTATCAGCTAAGCACAGAGAATGCCAAAGGCCTAAGGGCGTCCAAGACCTGTGGGGATGGTTCATGGACCAAAGGTCTCCTGATTGGTATCATCCAACTGTGTCAGCAACTTTCACGGCTCGGCATTGGTGATGGACATCATGGTAGCCGAGTCAAGTTTTCCTAGCGACCTGGATCAGCCTGATACCTGTCCTCAGGGTATCAGAAAAATTGGCCGCTAGAAGCATAAGAAACGAAATCAGTAGATCAGCTTATGCTACTTAGACTATGGTCTTTAGGCTATTTATTTTTGTAACCTAAGACTCAGGAGGTTAACTTTTCTGCTACCCAGTAGCCTGTGTAGCAGCTTGGAGAATTATGTCAAGCCATTTGTAAGGGTAGAAGATGGACGCTATAAATAATTACTCTGTGGTTATCATATTATATGAGAACATTAGCTACGTAGATACTGAATGACATGGTTTCAGCTTCAGTAATCTCCTCTTATGAGCAATATTGACCCAAGCCTGTCCACGGGGCCCTGCGAGCTTCCAAAAACCCCCGTCCTGCGTGACTCGATGAGCGCAGTTCCATCAATCATCGAAAGGACAATCATTCGCTAAGAAAATCATCACCCAGGCTATCATGCCTTCCCCGGACGGTGGAATGATCACCCACGGTGCTTTCATCTTCGCGGTCTGGACAATCCATGTACTCATCGTCGGTATCATCCTCTACTTCGATGACGCTAACCGATTCCTCGGGCTCCATCATCTCAGCGTCGGCCTCACCGCCACTATCAGTCGCTTCTTCCTTTTGCATCTGTGTGGATTCAAACTCGACGTATTGTGATGCGAGACATTGTTCCTTGAACCAGATGGCGAATTCAAGGGAGGATCCGTCACTGATCATGCGAAGGTCATAGTTGATGCGACGAAAGGCCTTGCCGTCTTCGTTAATCTCTTTTCGTAGTTTCCCCCATACCTTGGAAGGCAAGGGGACCTTGATGAGGCAAAGCCTCTTGACCGACTCGTCCCTTCGGGCTGGAGGCTCGGCAGAGTCGGAGATTACAATCTCTATCTGGAGGCCCTGATCAGGGTTTGTGAGGGCCTGGTAGCAAGAGAAAGATGCCGGCTTGTAGGTAGATACTGCATCACCCTGAAAACCGGTCAGCTACTCGTAGAAAAAGGTCGAGATATAGGCCACTCACAATTCCAATGTACCACTCAGTTTGATCGACTGCAATCCAGTTCTTGTCGTAAGGACAATATTCGCGATCTCGTATATCATGCTTCTTGATGTCAAATGGGCAGTCGTTGAAGACAGTGCCGTAGTTGTGTCTCGAGATTCGGGAGTCGACGACAGCAGTGATTGAGTCGGCGAGTCCGGTACGTGATAGCCCGTGGAGAACTGCACCACGAAGGACAGCAGACCACCTGAGTAAGAGTCAGTGTGTGAGTCGACAGCAATGTTCAAGGGTATACTGACGGGTCAGCTCCTCTCTTCTGAATGATGTGTGTTTTCTTTCCAAAGGTCTCATCGAGGCATTGGTACAAGTACTTGGACCTCCCAAAGCCTCCGACTAGGAATACGAACTAAATTGTTAGCAAACGAGCCACTCTGCGTTGATGGACAACCTTACCTTGGGTGGCTTCTGATATCCTTCCTCGACCTGTCTGATTTGAGTCGTGATTAGTTCTTTAATCTCTTCGATCACGGGTTTGTACACCTGTTCGCGGATCTCGTCTCTGGAAATCCATTAGTCTGACGCTGAAGACCATCATAGAAGGGGGGGTTGTGAGAACTCACGCCTGAAGCGCAAACGAAGAGGGGAAGAATTGGGGGTCGACTGGTCCCTTGTAGACGAGATTGATCTCGTATTTGTCGCTTTCCTTGCATATCGCAGTCTTGATACCAGACTCCCAATCATCCTTCACAATCCTCTAGGCAGCCTCTCGTGCAAGCATTCTTGTGATGTCTTTGGGGAATTTTCGTCTGAGCAGCCCGAGAAACTTTTGGTCGAGAAAGATGCCACCACAAAGGCCGCCTTGAGTTGTTAGCACAATACTTGGCGTGACCCTTGAATATTATTACCGTCGCCTTTGACACTTTCGCTGACTACGAAGGGGGTAAGCTTCTCAATCTTGTAGGTGATTATGTCCTGGAATTCGGTGAGTTGAGCATGAGCAAGGAGGGAAGGGAGAGTAAGGAGAAATGGAGATAGATAGAGTAATAAATACTTACAACAGTGCCGCCACCTGCATCGCAGACAACAAACTGGTCGCCGACCTACACAAGATGAGTTAGTGGAGATAAAGACAGGAAGGAGGCCATTATCTTACCTCGAGAGTGCATCGGCCCATGTTTTCTCGAAGGCATGTCAAAGCAGCTGCCTCGGGCTCAGAAATAAAGCCATATGTCGTTTTCCCCTCTAGTATCACTTCAAACAGACCAGCGATCTTCATAGCCTCGAGCATCCGCGACCGAACATAATGAGGCCAAATCGCAGGCAAAGTGAGAACAAAATGGATTCGGTAGATGTTCGTCCATCCCTTCTCCTCCGCGGCCTCGATTCGCTCACGACTGTACTCCCAGAGATTTCGAAGATAGTCACTAAAGACTTGCACGGGCGTCTTGTTGAGCTTGTGCATCAGGTCTCGAGCGCTCTTCAAGTGTTCGCAATCTCGCACATTTTCGGGGAGATCTCTTTCGTTGACTAGCAGGAGTTTGAACCAGCGCAGGATGCCGTCTCCGAAGGGAGTCATATATCCCCATGTGAGATCTCTGTTCACGTTATCCCCATAGAAAATGGCCGAGGGCGCTTTGGGAGCGTCGATGCGGTAGTTTCTGACGGTGGTCCAGTCTGTGACAGTCTGGATCGACTCCAGCTCTCTGTCGCCAAACTTCCAAGCGATACCCGAGTATCTAAGCGAATTCGATATCAGCCAGAGAACAAAGATACAAGTCTTGATAAAGCCCGGACTTACGTAGTACCAAAATCGATGGCTATGACCAAGGTCGGGGGGGCTTCGGTCTTCGGGGCCATTTGTGATTCACTGACAGGCAAATAAAGCCTGAGCTGAGTGACTGGCGTGAATACTTTAAGCGACCGAAGCTATCGAGCTTCAGTTGAGGCAGGACGTACGTGTAGAGAAAGGGTAAGGCTCAAGTGTATGGAGTGAAGACACGATATTCTGGCGGCGCGGCAGTGAAGTGTTTACGCGTTGCTGGGGGAGAGGGGGTGGTGAGCAATTTAATTCAAGCTTAGGCAACAGTGTAGCAAATTCCCATGTGGTTAATTGTTTATCTTCAAATTTCCTATTGTTGGAGGCAGACGATTTTTGCAATCAACCCACCTTATCTATTCACCTGCTTCGCAACTGCGGCTTGGCCCAAGTGAATGCCTGACCACCTACCTAGCAAGGTACACAAGGAGCGAAAGAACCAGTTATATTATTTCAATGACGATTCAGCTACATTGCTAGGATTTCACTGAAGTTGTTGGTGATAATACGTGAGTCTCATCTTGTTTACCCCCTTTTTCTGTGGTCGCATCAGTGGGCTAGATGTTACATAAGTTTTCAACCTAGAGTACCTATTGATTGTAAGTGCATATTCAAACTAGGGATACTTTATTCTACATAGTCCTAACCTGATTTTTTTATATAAAAGGATGCTTGAGTATTAACAGCTGACTACCAGTGCTTGCTATTGGCAAAGCAGATGCGAGCAAACACTGCCAACAGTGTTACAAACGCTGACTCTGGGTTAATCAGCGAGTATAAAACAACACCTTTTTCTATATTTTTACTGTTGTAAAACATCCTCAAGACTTCACTGCAATCTTTTGCACTTCAGTTAAGGGTCTAGGGCCAATGTTGGGCAGACCATCGACGAGTGTCAACACCAACCCCAACCCTCTCGGTCTCCATCGCCTCGCAGTACATCACAGTGCCTCTTCCTTTTTCGCTTTGGTATTCTACCAATGCACCGGCATGATCGTATATTGGATGACTTGTTAACAGCAGGCGCATGAAACTCTCTCATTAGACGTGCCCGTATTTACGGCCTCGCAATACAAAATGAGTGATCACACTCTACACTTTTTGCCCGTTGATCTCGATGACA